TGCACTAACATCCCCCGGGGAGGGGATCGCAGCTCAAAAGAAAGCTTTATATTTCGAAACTCCAGATACCTGGATTTCACATTGTGTACCTATCCGTAAGTGTTTCTACTACCCTTCACTATGAACATGTTGAAGAGGAGCGAGAAGCTGTACGAACCGCATTTTCCAGCTTTTGTATGATCCCTGATGATCCCCAGTGCTTTTCTTTAAAGTCATTTTTCTTTCTCCGAAGTTAACGAATAACCTCCAAAGTTGTGCAGATTATCTAACCCGACAGTGCTTAGCATGTTGCTGATAAGAACAAATGATGTTTTGAAGTCATGAAATTTTCGATGATCCACAGGTCGAAACTTGAGGTTTGCCGAAAAATTCGACTTTTCAAAAACTCGTTTGTTCTCATCAGCAGCATGCTTAGCACTGTTGTGTTAGATGTTCAGTACAACTTTGGAAGGTTTTTGTTAACTTCGGAGAAAGAAAAATGACTTTAAAGAAAAGCGCCGGGGATCATCAGGGATTACACAAAAGCTGGAAAATGCGGTTCGTAAAGCTTCTCGCTCCTCTTCAACATGTTCATAGTGAAGGGTAGTAGGAATACTTACGGATAGGTGCACAACGTGAAATCCAGGTATCTGGAGTTTCGAAATATAAAGCTTTCTTTCAAGCTGCGATCCCCTCCCCGCGAAGATGTTAGTGCATGCGGCCCTTAGGACCGCATGCACTAACTTGGCCGCGGCGAGGGGATCGCAGCTTAAAAGAAAGCTTCAGATTCTGAAGCTCCAGATAACTGGATTTCACTGTTTACCTGTCCGTAAGTATTCCTACTATCCTTCACTATGAATATGTTGAACAGAAGCGAGAAGCTGTACGAACCGCATTTTCTAGCTTTTGTACGATCCCTGATGATTCCCGGCACTTTTTCTTTAAAGTTATTTTTCTTTCTCCGAAATTAACAAAAACAATCCAAAGTTGTACTAAACATCTAACACAACAGTGCTAAGCATGTTGCTGATGAGAACAAATAAATTTTTGGAAAATCGTATTTTTCGGTAAACCCCATTTCAACCTGAGGATCATCGAAAATTTCATGACTTTAAAACATCATTTGTTCTTATCAGCAACATGATTAGCACTGTTGCGTTAGATAATCTGCACAACTTTGGAAGTTTTTTGTTAACTTCGGGAAAAGAAAAGTGACTTCAAAGAAAAGCGCCGAGGATCATCAGGGATCATACAAGAGCTGGAGAATGCGGTTCGTACAGCTTCTCGCTCCTGTTCAGCATGTTCATAGTGAAGGATTGTAGGAATATTTACGGATAGGTACACAACGTGCAATCCAGGTATTTGGAGTTTCGAAATATGAAGCTTTCTTTTAAGCTGCGATCCCCTCCCCGCGGCCATGTTAGTGCATGCGGCTCTTAAAGATACATACGGATATACGTACCAGGCGATACCAAAGTTTCCGTTCGGGGGAAGGGAGGGGGGGGGGCAGAAAGTTTTTACAGATGAAGGTGCGTGGTGTTGCGGCTCGGTGGGCCCAGCGCCCCTTCCGAGGGGTGCTCCTTTGCCATACACTCCAGTTCCCAACCTCAAACGACTTCCCACAGATATGGGTGAGCTCTAACTCATACCGGCGCGTCACGCCTACTCAAAAATATACAAACATTAAATATATACAAATTTACTAGACTAAACTAAACTACACTAAGATACACGATGCAAAAATAAACATAAAGAAAAACTTACCACGAGGAAAGTTAAGCAATGCCCCGGGCTACCGATGGCCTCTATCTCATTCACACTCTTTCTCGCTAGCATACTCTCACGCTCTCCCAACTTCCAAGGGAGAGCTACCCACAGGCCGGCCGCGGCCGCCAAGGCAGCAGCGACGGCACGGCATACATCAACCCCGTGATGTTAACCAACAACGTCAAACCAAGCTCCCAACAAGTCCTGCGCGTCCAAGCGCTCTCAGATGTTTATAGTCCTAAGATTCTATCGTTGCGCGTCCATCCAAACACTCCAACGTCAATCCACACAATCGCGCGCAAGGCACGGGGAAGAAGGCACAACGTTGCTATCGTGGGAAACCCAACCAATCAATAATACGACGGCACGATTATAGTAATAAGACGAAAGAGCAAAGCCGTAATGACGGCGTACGCGCTATTTATAGCGGTGGTTGGGAACGTGCCCACGCGGTGGTCCGGAAGCGAACAAGGTAGCCGCCGTAAAGCGCGACGACCGTGCTCACGACCGAACTGGCGGCAAAAACGGTGCTCTCGGCCACATGCTGAGAGCAGCGGTCGATCGCGACCCGCGACACGTGGCTTACGCCACGTACTGCGGAAAAATTTCCGATAGCTTCTCAAAATTTTTATGGGCCATAACCCCCCCCCCCCCCCTCCCAAATCTAAAAGGTGGAATCGAGGCAAAGCCACGACCGAGATTTTAACCCAATTTGAAATTTGAAAAATATTTCAATTATTTACAAGTATTGGCAAGTCCTCTGCATATTTCTATAAGTCATGTAAGTTTTTAGAAATTTCGTGAATAATTCTCTCTCCCCCCTTGTCCGGCACTGATACGCACATACGTATCGTACCATACATACCCTGTGGCGTACCGAAAAAGCCCTCCTCCTCCTCCCAGAATGGGGCGAAATTTTGAAAAGTTCAAAAATTCATGTTAACAATTGCTGCTCCCTGTATAAAATGATTCCGGTTCACCCAAATCTAAAAGGTGGACTCGAGGCAAAGCCACGACCGAGATTTTAACCCAATTTGAAATTTGAAAATTATTTCAATTATTTACAAGTATTGACAAGTCCTCTGCATATTTCTATAAGTCATGTAAGTTTTTAGAAATTTCGTGAATAATTCTCTCTCCCCCCTTGTCCGGCACTGATACGCACATACGTATCGTACCATACATACCCTGTGGCGTACCGAAAAAGCCCTCCTCCTCCTCCCAGAATGGGGCGAAATTTTGAAAAGTTCAAAAATTCATGTTAACAATTGCTGCTCCCTGTATAAAATGATTCCGGTTCACCCAAATCTAAAAGGTGGAATCGAGGCAAAGCCACGACCGAGATTTTAACCCAATTTGAAATTTGAAAATTATTTCAATTATTTACAAGTATTGACAAGTCCTCTGCATATTTCTATAAGTCATGTAAGTTTTTAGAAATTTCGTGAATAATTCTCTCTCCCCCCTTGTCCGGCACTGATACGCACATACGTATCGTACCATACATACCCTGTGGCGTACCGAAAAAGCCCTCCTCCTCCCAGAATGGGGCGAAATTTTGAAAAGTTCAAAAATTCATGTTAACAATTGCTGCTCCCTGTATAAAATGATTCCGGTTCACCCAAATCTAAAAGGTGGAATCGAGGCAAAGCCACGACCGAGATTTTAACCCAATTTGAAATTTGAAAATTATTTCAATTATTTACAAGTATTGACAAGTCCTCTGCATATTTCTATAAGTCATGTAAGTTTTTAGAAATTTCGTGAATAATTCTCTCTCCCCCCTTGTCCGGCACTGATACGCACATACGTATCGTACCATACATACCCTGTGGCGTACCGAAAAAGCCCTCCTCCTCCTCCCAGAATGGGGCGAAATTTTGAAAAGTTCAAAAATTCATGTTAACAATTGCTGCTCCCTGTATAAAATGATTCCGGTTCACCCAAATCTAAAAGGTGGAATCGAGGCAAAGCCACGACCGAGATTTTAACCCAATTTGAAATTTGAAAATTATTTCAATTATTTACAAGTATTGACAAGTCCTCTGCATATTTCTATAAGTCATGTAAGTTTTTAGAAATTTCGTGAATAATTCTCTCTCCCCCCTTGTCCGGCACTGATACGCACATACGTATCGTACCATACATACCCTGTGGCGTACCGAAAAAGCCCTCCTCCTCCTCCCAGAATGGGGCGAAATTTTGAAAAGTTCAAAAATTCATGTTAACAATTGCTGCTCCCTGTATAAAATGATTCCGGTTCACCCAAATCTAAAAGGTGGAATCGAGGCAAAGCCACGACCGAGATTTTAACCCAATTTGAAATTTGAAAATTATTTCAATTATTTACAAGTATTGACAAGTCCTCTGCATATTTCTATAAGTCATGTAAGTTTTTAGAAATTTCGTGAATAATTCTCTCTCCCCCCTTGTCCGGCACTGATACGCACATACGTATCGTACCATACATACCCTGTGGCGTACCGAAAAAGCCCTCCTCCTCCCAGAATGGGGCGAAATTTTGAAAAGTTCAAAAATTCATGTTAACAATTGCTGCTCCCTGTATAAAATGATTCCGGTTCACCCAAATCTAAAAGGTGGAATCGAGGCAAAGCCACGACCGAGATTTTAACCCAATTTGAAATTTGAAAATTATTTCAATTATTTACAAGTATTGACAAGTCCTCTGCATATTTCTATAAGTCATGTAAGTTTTTAGAAATTTCGTGAATAATTCTCTCTCCCCCCTTGTCCGGCACTGATACGCACATACGTATCGTACCATACATACCCTGTGGCGTACCGAAAAAGCCCTCCTCCTCCTCCCAGAATGGGGCGAAATTTTGAAAAGTTCAAAAATTCATGTTAACAATTGCTGCTCCCTGTATAAAATGATTCCGGTTCACCCAAATCTAAAAGGTGGAATCGAGGCAAAGCCACGACCGAGATTTTAACCCAATTTGAAATTTGAAAATTATTTCAATTATTTACAAGTATTGACAAGTCCTCTGCATATTTCTATAAGTCATGTAAGTTTTTAGAAATTTCGTGAATAATTCTCTCTCCCCCCTTGTCCGGCACTGATACGCACATACGTATCGTACCATACATACCCTGTGGCGTACCGAAAAAGCCCTCCTCCTCCTCCCAGAATGGGGCGAAATTTTGAAAAGTTCAAAAATTCATGTTAACAATTGCTGCTCCCTGTATAAAATGATTCCGGTTCAAAAGCATCTTTAGTTTGCTGATTTTAGCGTAACTCAACTGCAAATTGTGAGGAGTATGTGGTGCAAGAATTCATTGATGATGGTTACGAATTTACAGCATTTTGCACTGCCAAAGGTGGATTATTGTGTAAGTTTAGTAATTCGCGGCAAATTCGGAAATCAAACTGATCTAAGAGTTGAAGCATGCACAGCATCAATGGAATCCCACCGGACCATTTTGGAATGCATTCAAAGCCAATCGCCTTACGGTCTTGAGTTATTCACAGTGGAACAAACTAGGGACATTCTGCCTGGAGTCGAATCTTTTGTAACTCAGGTATGTTTAACGATTATAAAGTACACCGTTCCTTGGTTTGATATAATATTTTGGAGATGTGTGTAAGCTTGAAATCGCAAGGGTTACTACTGATGCACATTGTAGATAGCATTAAAATGAGATGGTAAATCGATCTGCATCACCGCTGTTACTGTAAAAGGAAAACTGCACATTCGTTTTATGTCGCCAACCAAACACTAATTCCTCTGCGCTTTGAGTCCACATTCAATATGACGCCATTCAAAGAATAAGTTTCAGATGTATTTCCAATTTCTTTGTTGCAGGGAATCTTACTGTGTCCTGCTTTATTTTCTTCTGCAATTGACTTGCACGAATTTGCTTGAAAATGCTTTTAGGGCTCTGCCTATTGTGATGATTACGTATATATGCTTCCGCAGCATCTCGCTTATGATGTTGAGTTGCTACCAAAAGGAGTAATAGAGTGATTAGGGCGGAGCGTTTATTAAACCTAGCGCTGACTAGAACACTCTTCCATGCCCCAACTATGCGGTATGTCAATATGGAAATTTCATAGCGACTCGGATCACTTTGGAAATGTGAGGAAAATCGCTATTGGTAGAAATGTGAGAATAATCGATGTTGGCTTTGAACTATCGATTTGTGAAAGAGAATTCTAAGAAGTGAGGAACCTTATGTGGCCGGGTCTACTATATATGCAAAAAAAGTTCTAGGCGGTGGCACAATGAGATGAGAAACAGAAGACAATGTGAAATATGAACTTGAATTTAAAAAAAAATCGAGGGCACATTTACAAAGGTTAAAAGCCTGAAAAGCGGCGAGATCTCTTCGTGACAGATAGAGTATCAACTGGAAGTTACGACAACTCTTGTTGAGTTTTTGGAGAGACTCTTCCAAGTTATTGTTGCTTTCCCAATCAGTGTGCTCTTTACCCTACTTTACCATACCTACCCCCCATTACACTCCCACCGCTTCTGTTCGAAGTTCGTAAAGACAGAAGATGAAATTGAGACATGCAAACAATGCTAAAGATGTTGCCTTCGTGAATATCATGCTGAACCCCCATTGCCACAAATCTCCGGGAGCAAAGTTTGTGGACACGCAACGGCTAAAAGTGTGTGTGTGTGCGAACTTTGGTCTGGTTCGCTTAACAAATACAGAAATTGCATGCAGATACTGAGTATATATGAGAGAGTAGTTTGCATAACACTTGCTAAATTCAACGTTAGAAAAAATAAAATTTTGAAGATACTGCGTGCTTACGTGCTTTGAGTGCCATTTTCCAATCGTTAGAGGACATACAGAATTTTTTTATGGATACATTTTTAAAGATTAATAGGATACCACACATGTGACCCAAGTATGCGTTTGTATCCGGTCTTCAATCACCTTTTAGCTGTCAAGAAAGCTCGTACATTCAAAGACTATTTGTTCTCGTATGACACATGCTGATTATATATCAGGTTGAACCGAAAGTTCTGTCGCACCGTTTCCAAAAAATCATAACTTCTTTCCCTCACGGTGATTTTGCGCAATTCAAATTTGGTCTGAAAGCGTAAAGCCTGCAGTTTCCAAAAGTTCCTGGGTAGCTTTCCAATACGCTCAGGTTGCAGAGATAGAAATAAAAGAACGAGATCATCCTAAATTCGGAATTTCTAAGCAAAAATTCTAGAAATTCAGAAACTGTGCGATAAAATCCAGAACAAACATTAACCTAAGTTTTCTTATATTTTATTACTAACTGAGTCAAGTTTGTGCTGATCGAGCTCTTCTTTCAAAAGTTATGATTTTTTGAAAAAAATGCCGATAGATCGAATTCTTAAGAATCCTTAGGAAATTGATTTTTTAGCATTTTTTTTCAAGAAATCATAACTTTTGAAAGAAGATCTCGATCACACAAACTTGACTCAGTCAGTAATAAAATATAAGAAAACTTAGGATGATGGCTGTTCTGGATGTTATCGCAAAGTTCCTGAATTTTTAGAATTTTTGCTTAAAAATTCCAAAGTTCGGATGATCTCGTTCTTTCATTTTTATCTCTGCAACCTGAGCATGCTGAGAACTTCCCAGGGAACCATTGGAAACTGCATGCTTTGCACTTTCCGACAAAGTTTAACCTGCGCAAAATCACCTTGAGTGAAAGAAGTCATGATTTTTTGAAAATGGTGCGACAGAACTTTCGGTTCAACCTAATATAATACAAGTTTTGTAGTGTGCATTCAAATATTGGAGTCGAATTTTTACACTTTGGCTTTGAACTTCACGTGAGTCGCTTATACAAATAATCAAAAACTCTCTTGTGAAACTTGCTTTGCTCTATTCCAGCCTTTCCTACAATTGAGCTTCGATGTTTTGGAAGAACGACATTTTCCTTATTCCAACTTGATACAACGATAATTTCACTTCTGTTTAGGTGCTCAAAGCCACTTTCTCTAAAAGTTATACTGGAGCGATTTTTATCAAAGGATTCTACAAGGTTCGGAAAATTGATCTCTTATCTTCTCTTGTCGCTACGTCTTTTCAAATAACTACCGGAAACTCTTGAACTTGCATAGAACCACAACGATATCTTTTTCCTCGGCTTTTCACTTGAACCTGAGTCCGAAACACTGCGCACTCTTTTGGATATGTCAGCGATGCCTTGGGAAACCGCACTAATCGAAAGCCACTACGAAGATGACATTATAAAGGTGGTTTTTTTGTTAAGTATTTGTTGTATCAGGTTGTCCCATAAGTTCCGTCCGTTTTTTCAACCGCAATAAATCATGAACTTCTTGTATCCAGATAGGTTTTAAGGTGCAAGCTGCAAGCTTTGAATCTCGAGAAATATCTACAGCTTGCCTTACGATGCCTTACACTAGAATCCGTAATTCTCAAAAAATAGTGCCTGTAGAAAGCTGAGAATTTATTAGGTTGATGCATAATTCCTGCACCAAAATAGGTACAGAGCGCAATAACTCGGAATAATCCTATATTCCAAGTAGGATTCGATATACCATTTGATAGCGCAAACCTAGCTCTACAAGATATTGCTCAAATATCTACACCAGCTTTGATCCACGCGAAGTTTTGAGCCAAAAACTGAAAAAAACCATGCGCCCGAAAACCTTAAGACAGATCTTAAAAAATTGTAACTTTGTTCAAAAAGCTCATACAAATTTTCTTTCTTGCTCACGCGTAGACGTTCCACGTAAGACATTTATCTATACGGTTGCTGTATTTTTTTCTCAACTAGCCGATGAGAAAACGAAATTTTTCATGTTTTTTCCAAAACAATGCTGAGATGTTCTAGCACTGACAGTTGTATGCTATAGAACCTTAGAAGCGTGAATGTGAATTTTCAGCTCTTTAGAGCAGCTGGTTTACGAGAAATATAGGATTTTTAGCAACTAGGCAAGAAAAATTTGGATAAGGAGAGCTAGATTCGTTATTTCTCGCGAACTAACAGTTCTAGAAGGCTGAAAATGTAAAGTTTCACTGCTAACGGCATGTACTATACAACTGTTAATACTAGAACATCTCAGCACTAATTTGGCAAAAACATGAAAAACTTCAAAAAACTTAGTTTTTTCATCGTCTAGTTGAGAAAAAAATACAGCAACCGCATAGATAAATGTCTTACGTGGAACGTCTACGCGTGAGCAAGAAAGAAAATTTGTGTGAGCTTTTTGAACGAAGTTACAATTTTTTTAAGATCTGTCTTAAGGTTTCGGACGCATGGTTTTTTTTTCAGTTTTTGGCTCAAAACTTCGCGTGGATCAAAGCTGGTGTAGATATTTGAGCAATATCTTGTAGAGCTAGGTTTGCGCTATCAAATGACATATCGAATCCTACTTGGGATATTGGATTATTCCGAGTTATTGCGGTCTGTACCTATTTTGGTGCAGGAATTATGCATCAACCTAATACATTAGTACTTCTACGGGCTAGTAGTATACAATTATCTATGTAGGGACAGCACAGCATCGCTTTAGCAAAAAACATGAAAATCTTCGTTTTCTCAATTTCTAATCAAGGAAAAAATATGGCAACAGCGTATGTAAATGTCTTACAAGGGAAGCTTGTTTAGTCGAAGTGGCCTTTCCAAATGAGATGTATATCATATTAAAGCACATAAAACGCTGATTCCAAAACTGTCTTCCTTATCTGGAGAACGTTTATGGACGAGAAGTTATGAGCGTTTTTTGGAGCCAAAAATTGAATGTGCATTTCAAATAAAATGAGTTGTTAGGATCTTACTAGCCTTCAAATAACGTAACCAAGTGTGGTATAATTTTTATTTTAGAGTAATTTTCAAGTGAAGTGTTTTGGTGATTATCATTGCTCCGTTGAAGAGCTAGAAAAAGTATTACGGTTATTTTTGTCACACTTGCACATTCAATTTTTGAATCCAAAAACGCTCATAACTTCTCGTTCATAAACGTTCTGCAGATGCGGAGGGCAGATTTGGAATCAGCATTTTATGCTCTACAATATGGCGTACATCCCATCAAAAAAGGCCACTTCGACTAAACAAGCATTCCTTGTTAGATGGATAGTGTTTACGCGAGCAAGTTGGAATTTGGATTTTTTTGAACGGAGCCATGATTTTTTTTTCAATTTTTCGAGCAGTTGAATCTCTTCAGTTTTCTCCTTGGAACTCGAAATGGATCAGTGCTGATGCAAAGTCAAGATAGCCTTCTTGTACAGCTTAACTTGCTCTATCGAATGGTACCTTAAAACCTACCTAGAAACAAGAAGTTCATGATTTATTGCGGTTGAAAATCAAAACGGACGGAACTTATGGGACAATCTGATAGTTTATTTTATTCTGAAGGATAATGCATTTTATTTAGAATGGACTTGTTGCTGTCCCATCGATACATCAATGCGTGGTAAATTTTCCTAGTGCTGAGGGAGTGTTGATTCATCAGACATTAATACCTAAAAGGTAAAGTTACAATATTACATAGCTAACGGTACCTGCGAGAGATAAGTTATGCACGCATTTCAAGGTGAAGAGAATTATGAAAATACCGGCACTGAGCTCGAGATGCTTTAGGTCAACAAGTGAAATGCGTGTGGCCTGGCGTTGTGCCGAAGGTCAAGAAATGATGGATAGCATAAGCATAGATGATAATGTCGTTCAGGTAATCTTATATATAAAGCTGAATGTCTGTTTGTATGTATGTATGTATGTCTGTCTGTATGTATGTATGTGTGTACGTATGTTCCGAATAGAAAATTCCATTTCTGAACCGATCGGGACTAAACTTGGCACACATACACTTCGGGCCCCGGCGGGTGTCATAGGCTACTTTTCGTCATCGATCGATATCGATTTTATCGATTTTTATCGATTTTTTTGCTGAGTTCACCTACGGGGCTGGGAGTTTGCACAGGGGGGTAATCGAGCATGGGGATTCCGAATACAATATTGGTTTTCAGGATTATCGATTACTTTTATCGATTTTATCGATTTTTTTGCAAAGTTTGAGCTACGGGGCTGGGAGTTGGCATAGGGGGGTAATCGAGCATGGGGATTCCGAATACAATATTGGTTTTCGGGATTATCGATTACTTTTATCGATTTTATCGATTTTTTTGCAAAGTTTGAGCTAGGGGGCTGGGAGTTGGCACAGGGGGGTAATCGAGCATGGGGATTCCGAATACAATATTGGTTTTCAGGATTATCGATTACTTTTATCGATTTTATCGATTTTTTTGCAAAGTTTGAGCTACGGGGCTGGGAGTTGGCACAGGGGGGTAATCGAGCATGCTGATCATCCCCAAGGGGGGTGATCAGCATGCTCGATTACGCCCCTGTGCCAAATTCCAGCCCCCTAGCTCAAATTTTCAAAAAATCGATAAAATCGATAAAAGTAATGGACGATCCTAAAAACTAATATTGTGTTCGTAATCAGCATGCTCGATTACACCCCTGTGCAAACTCCCAGCCCCGTAGCTCAAACTTTACAAAAAAAATCGGTAAAATCGATAAAAGTAATGGACGATCCTGAAAACTAATGTTGTATTCGGAATCCCCATGCTCACTTCCCCCCTGTGCCAACTCCTAGCCCTGTAGGTGAACTCTGCAAAAAAATCGATAAAAATCGGTAAAATCGACATTGATCGATAACGAAAAGTGGACTGTGACACCCGCCGGGGCCCGAAGTGTATGTGTGCCAAGTTTGGTCCGGATACGGCGGAGCCGGGTAAGCCAGCTAGTCCGGTTATATGGACCAAAATACTTTTGTGCATACCTTCGATAGCCTAGAGACAGGGCGTCAGAAGTGAAGGTTGTTTGAACATATGACGTTATAAATAGTGAAGGTTGTTTAAAGAAGTTCAGAGAGAGAATATGACGTAAAACAGATATAAAAAGCAAGAGAAACTGCTGAAAACCGTATAAAAACGCTGCAAAGGGGTCTGAGATCGTTCATTTGGCGGCTTTTCAAAAAGCAAGTTTTCGCTCCAGGACCAGCAATTCGCAACGCCGGGTTTTGACTTTTGATGCGTCTTTCAAATTTTTACCCCCGCATTGACATTCCTGTTTCCTGGGACGTTGTCTGGATTGTTGCGCTTATTGTTCTGAGCAATAATCGCCCAAAGTGGAAAAAATCGATGCGAAAGCACTGAAACAGAACAAGGTAAAGAAAAACGCATTTTTTACGATTTTTCGCAAAAAAATCCCACCATAATCGAAGAGGTAAGGGCTGGGTGGTTGTCTGCATTATGAACAGAAGCAAGATCTATAGAATGCACGAAAAAACCGCGTGAAAATAGTTAAACTAGGAGACAAACAAGACATTTTCGAAAACAAGGTTTTTGCCGGATCTCTCGATCAAATCAAAAAATGTGGTTTTGGGACGTTGTCAGGGTGAATGTAGAGATCAAGAGCTTCAATTTGATATATAGCTTGCTAAAATTGGGTTTGAAACAACGAAGAAAAGGGTACCAGAGTCAAATGCCCCGCGCCCCGCGTTTGGGGTAGCGAGGTAGCGCGTTGCGCGCGAAGACGCAGACGAGCAGCGGAGATTAACCAGAGCCGACGGGGCATTTGGCTCTGGTCGTAGATCTTCGCGGGGTCTCAACGAAACGCCGCAACATTACATATGATTCTGATCGCCATGACATTGAAAACGGAGAAATGACAACGTCCCAAGCTTTGAAAATCACTCATGAACGAGATAGACCAGCGTTTTCGTGCGCGACTCTCTGCGCAAGATTTAAGCGCAGTTTCTCGTTTTTGTTCAACTCCAATAGCCTTCCTAAACTTTTGAAACTCGCTTTTATTCAATGAGAGGATAACAGAGAAATTTTGTCTCGAATTCTGGCGAAAATTCCACAGAAACCTTCTTTTTAAAGTAAGAAAAGGCTATGAAAACGCAAGTTCTCGGTTTCGATGAGATAACTAAAGATAGTATTCCCTATATTTGCTTCATTAACATCCGTTCCGATATAGTCAGATAATAACATCCGGGGCGAAGCCCCGGATGACTTCTGTTTTTTCCAGGTGAAGGTTGTGTCCCCCCATAACCCTCAAAGTGAAGGTTACCAGAGTACGTGGCTCTATGTATCGAGGGTATGCTTTTGTGGAGTTTCGACAGACGCCATTTCCGGAAAAGCGGCGCCGCTTATCTTAGTTATATGCTATAACTTTTATAACTGTTTGTTTAGTTTTTCTCTCCATTCCCTATATACTGCATAATAGTAATATGTAGGACTAAAGCAAAGATGCTTATTAATCTCCAATACTTTCTAGTTGATTCGTTGACCGCACAGACTGGACATCACTTCGAGCACGCGCCGCGAAACGCTTGCCTCAGTACAAATTCGCCATTGCACAAATCGTGCTCTTGCGACAATTTAGGCCGGGGGTAGTTCGCAGAGCTTGAGCAGTCCGTGCGGTCAACGAATCGACGATACTTACTGCTCGGTACGAGGTGATCTGATGTTTTGGAAACGACGTCGTCGTTGACTTCGCAACATAAATACGACATCCTACAAAAGCAAAATTAAATGGACGATCAAAGGGACTATTGATGCTCGTATTCTCCGCGGCATGCTCTGGCGCGCACACAGCGGCACCGTCAGCCCTCATGTTAACCCATGACTTCTGTGTTTTGGTGTTAATGCTACTTCTGCTTCTTAACAATACTCATGGTTAGAGCTGACTATTTTACTTTTGTGTTAGATGGTGTTTCTTGCTGCTAAGTTTGATTCTGTAGGTAGCCTTGGAAATCGTGAAAAGCAAAAAATTTGGCCGTATTTATTTCCTTTTTGTAAGTAACTTGTGCTGAACTTTTGCTTTAGTTGATTTGAAATTACCAGTTACTCTGCATCGCCTCTCCAAGCTTGAGTGGGAAGAGTTTTGTGCAAACGAGCCCGCAAATGTAAAATCGCTCAACAACAACAGAACGTCAACTTCAAAAACAAAACAAAGAAAATAGCAGTTGGCAATAAGAAAACGGAAAAAAAACGTGCTTAACTAGACTGAGAGCTGAGGATGCCGCTCTCTACCCAACCGGCGTGCTCCAAATTCTTGAAATTATCCAGCAAGTGTCTAGTGGGCTGAAGACGATTTTGTCTAAAACAGTCGTTCGCAATTAACAACGTTCTTTCGCCACTTCACAGACAAGGAAATGGTCAAGAATTAAAATGATAATTTCTGAAGTCCTGCAAAACATTTGTTGCAGCGTAACAATGACACTGTGTTTCACCGCTGAAACCTTGGCGAAGATGTGGCAAACTTGTTGCAAGGAATTTGCGTATACAAAGAACATTAAATATGTAGGTTTAAGTTCGGCTCAATGCTGGGCCAAAACATAAGTAGGTTGCTTTAAAGAATCTAGATCTAGAAATAAGTTTGAAAACATCCATGTGTCCCAGACAGCCGCAGTCAGGCAGACCGCGCCGTTTGTGGGCTTTTGCAGCCGGAGGGCATTGAGCCAAATTTTGTCCGTGGAGCCTGTAGGGAGAACTTATTCGAAATAGTGGACTAAAGCTTTTTTTTCTCGTTTTCTACGATGCTGGAGCGATCAACTCATTGTCGAACAAAGTTTCGAACGAAGTGTTGATATTACTATACTGGGAGCCACATGTTCGTGAAGCGAGCCTTTTCGATGTCATTGAGCGATACTGTTGAGTTTTTTTGTATGTTCTCGAATTTTGAAGCAGTCCCTTCTGAACTGTAAAAGCAATGTCGTTTGTGAAACGAAATTCCGATGTATTATGTTTGCTTTTTGTCCCATATCATTGTGCTGTTTGAACGATTTCTTGGGAGGCTTTTGATGTTTTTGCCGTTTCGAGGTTGTGAGCGATGTGGCAATACATAATGGAAAATTTTGCTAGCGACACTGTCACTCAGCATAGTAGAACAGCCGTGCAAATTTAGTTGCTAGCCATGAACGAATAGATCCTCAGCGGGAGATTTCAAAACTTCGTTTAATAAAGGATCGATCGCTTCAGTATCGTAGAACAATGAAAAAAACAAGAACCAGATCAAATGAATACATATGCAACGAATTTGTTTGACACACCATAAAAAAGAATTTTTAGAAGGGAAGAATGTTTAGTACAACATAAAAGAGAACATGTAAAACGGAATAAAGACCAAAAACCTACAAGTCCCGGTGGCATATAAGTGCCCCACACGCGCCTCAAGAACACCCGATCCAGTGGATCCTAGTCCTCGGTTGCAAAAGCGACAATTGGCGCAAAAGCGGCTGTCAGCAGCAAAAGCGACAATAGGTGAAGTTTGGAGGCTCTTTTATACATATAGATGCATAGACTCCTCAAAGCAACGTATTTGCATGTTTTTGGCCCAGCATTAGGTCAAAAATGAATCTGCATATTAAGAACCTTGTATGCACAATCTTTTTGCAACAGGGTTTCCCATATCTTCGTTTGCAGAACTCCCAGCAGGTAAGAAAGACAAAACTGTGAGTAGGTTAGGAAGCCAGTTGAGGTTAGCAGATTTATTAGTAAGTGGCGGCCTAACGTTTCGAACTATTTGTCTTCCTCAGAGGCTCAAAGTGCTAGGAGATTTGTGATTTTATGTCTACCCCACCAAAAACCTCCTCCATCCCCGGCTAGCCTCGAAGTTGCCCCAGAATGCTACAAACGAAAATCCTTCAACGTGAAAGACAAACTAACCTCCTCCACCGCAGGCGCGCGGATCTTGAAAGCGGCGGTTCTTCAATGCCACTGATACCAATAATGAAATACACTGTTTACCATATTCAAAATAATCAGTGACCTTCTTCAGCTCACACAACTTCACGAATGGCAAAAAGTCATTTTTGATCGACATACACTCATTTTGGGTGTTCATGGTTGGATTTCTTGCGAAAATCCAGAACGCCTCGAGAGCCTTTCTAACGGCAGTATCGTATTCGTCCAGTATTACACATCTGATCTCGAAGCCCTTACCACCGTGTACTTCAACTTTATGCTTACCGATTGGGTGCTTCGTCCAGAACGCCTTTTATGGACAAGATGTTTTTTTAGCCTTACTCTCAGCGGTCTCCCAGTTAATCCGATATAAGTGGCGCTGCACTTGATACATTCGATCTGATAGATCACACCTGTCATACGCAGTCACCAACTCTACCGGATGGACAAACCGTACAGTCTTGGATTCTGCAGTAGTTGTCTACAGCCTGTTAGTACTAACCGCTTCCTGATGTTGTCACTTGGAATGTTAGTCAAAAGACATCGTTTTGGAGATTTGCATGTTTAATGCATCGTCGCAATTAGCATTAGTAGCGTTGGAAACGAGGGAAGACAAAGAGGTATTTTCTGTTGGCGCTGGTTGCTGTTGGTGGAAATAGATGGTTCACCACGTCCATTTTGAAACACGTAGCCATTTACTCAAGCAATATCCAGCGCCCATCTCCCGTGCATATGTTCGCTGCTGTTTTGAGCATGTTACGAATAACAGCTCTTTTAACAGTGATCGAATATGCGGAGCAAGCATTAAGCAAGATGTTCTTGGAACTCTCTTTGCAATACCATTTCTCATTCGCATCGCCGTTTAACAGTTTGATTTGTACGTTGAGATAAGGAAGCCAACCATTTTTCGGTTGCTGCCGTGTGCACTTATGTACTGTGATTGTGGTTGAATAGTCGGAAACATTTATTTCGCGTTGTGTTGATGTTGTAACGCAACAGTCGTCTATGTAACGACAGTATATCAGAGGTAGACGCGACAGCGCTGGCTCTTCTATTCTACTCATAAAGCAGATCGCAAGTACTAGGGCAAGTCTTTGTCCCATCGTAAGACCCTCAACTGAGTATAGTACACCATTTGAAGATGTTAGAAGAGGGCGTTCTTCATTCAGGAGCATAACGGATTGTTCACTCAACCCAAAAATTCTGGATCTTTTCACCAAAGTCACTCAGTGTTTCTGATACTGCTTTTAGAGCGTCGTCATTTTGAACGTTGTTTACAATGACACTACGTCATAAGACTCTGCTACGCAATGCGTTTACAGATTGGTGTTACGTAGGCGTTTTAGGAAATGATTCGTGTTGGCTAGATGAGACGGGACTTTGTCCAGTAGCTGATTGACAATCTTATTCAAGAACCAGGAAATTCGGTCGGTTGGTCCTCCCACACAACTTATGATCGGTCTAATTTCCAACTGTTCTGCTGTCAAAGAGCGCGCGTCATCAATAGCAGGTATTCTATGAGTCTTAACAAGGCGAGGTTAAGAAGGGAGGAAACTTGGAAAGGCAAAATTGTAATCCTTTTCATGTTGCATCAAATGTTTTGCAAAAGTTCAAAGATTATTACTCCGACTCCTGACCATTCTCTTGTCGGTAAAATGACAGAAGAAGTTGTTTGTCGAAAACTATTCTTTTGGACGGGGTCTTTGTGCACGCAAACAAATGACGATAATTCTGAGCATATATTTGCAAAGAATAAATTTCGAAGGTGGCCACGTACATATATAATCCCAGTGAATGGCTTATTTGAAATTCTTGCGTTGACCCAGCGCGTTAACTTCCAAGAGGAGGACGGGTCTGCTTGCCAGTTGTCAAATCAGAAGTGGTAGTCGTTACTATTTACGAAATCAGCATAACCATCTTTGTTGATGGTCAGTATACGATGACGTCACTAAGTCACGGCAGTTAGAGTTTGGGGGGGGGGAAGGGGCATGTTCACAACTTCCGGCTTCAGACACACGCGGCGAGAGGGGGGAGGGGGAGCGACACCCGTGCGCTTTATTATATAGAGATATCATTTTAGTTGGAGTCGTGGCTAACTTTTATTCTCTGAATTATGATTTAAGGCTCAGTGGAAGTATCTATGGATTATATACCCGTTTTTATAATTTTTTCACCTTCTTATATGATTTTTAGAAATTTTCCTCAGCGTATATTCAAAACTGTTACTTGCCATCAAAGTCCCTCTCCGCTTTACTTCTGTTAGCTTTTATAAAATCCGCAATTCCCCAGCTTTTCTCGTTACTTTACAGTTATTCTCTTTCCTCATTTCCAATCATTCATAGTTATTGTTTGTTAGTGATATTGTGCCGAACAGGTTTTTATGGTGGATCTTTATTGCCTGACGTTTCGACAAATATCGTCTTCTTCGGAGGCCTGAAAGGGACTGCAGTTTTGTATCTGTCTGTACCATGTCTATACCCCGGATAGTGGCTGGCTTTCTTTTATGAATACACAGATATGCTTGTCTGATGGTGCTGTTAGAAATTAAATGGTACAGAAAAGAAAGCTCTAAAAACATCCTTGTCCACGCCACGTCAGCACACCCTACAGATCTGAAGCATTCTGTCATCCGCAATATGTACAAAACCGCTGTAGATGTCTGTACGGGCGAGAGCGAACGATTGGAGTCACAGCAACTAGCATTCGAAATTGCTCGCAGCAATGGATACCTAGTTACGCGATTACGACAAAGATCTTCGCGATGCGTAGATAAACCTTTGCGAAGCAACGACAACAGAATCCCCCTCTGCATGCCTTTTGTGTCCGATAAATTTAGCAAGGCAATCAAACGATGCATAACACGAGCGCAGTCAGACGATGAGGTAATGCTGGTCAACATTCCTAGCACTAACATCAAAAAGCGGTTGATCAGAAATAGGTTGTATGACACAGAATGCTTAACGGACAACTGCATCGTTTGCCCATATGGAAGTTTAGGCGACTGTGCAAAGGAAGGTACTGTTTACCAACTAGAATGCTTACGCTGCGGAGCCACTTATGTAGGGAAGACAGGAAGAAAACTAAGCATTAGAGTCAAAGAACATTTGGCCAGCAAAAAGCGAGGGACAATGTCATCGCCGTTGGGAAAACATAGAGCCGAGGCACATAAAGGTGACGATTTCAATGTAAAATGCACGATACTAGCATATGAGACCGAGATCTCGGCACGAAAGACCTTGGAAGCAGCATGGATATCCGCCGGAAATCCGGGGATGAACAATAAAAATGAATGCTTGACGATGACAAGTGACCTTCTGCCATTCGTATCATTATGTCGACTATAGCCGCAGACTATATATATATCTTTGACACACTGGGCAATCCTCAGTGATGTCCGTCACAGTCGTGCGGGCTGACTGACTTAGCGGTGGATCGAAGGTTGGTGACTGTTACTTCGGATTGATCCCAGCACGTTGATTCTAAACAAGGTCTGAGCGCGCGAGCTTGAGGAGGCGTTTGGTCGTGTAGACAGACAGATACAAAACTGCAATCCCTTTCAGGCCTCCAAAGAAGACGATATTTGTCGAAACGTCAGGCAATAAAGATCCACCATAAAAACCTGTTCGGCACAATATCACTAACAAACAATACGAAATGCCCAGGTTTAAAGAAGAGAGCACATGGAAGCTACTTACCATTCATAGTTAGTTGCTATTGTTTTTCAGCGACTAAAAAGATTTAGGTGCACGTGATAATGTTCCGCAAATTCAAAAAGAACTTCTAAAAGGTCCAAATGCCACTTCATGCTGAGTTTTGATTTACGTCCACTAGGTATATAGACGTAAAATAATATTGTTTCTCAAAGTATTGCTAGTACTCAGCAAATTCTAATGCATTACAACGACTTTTCTTACAAGGGAAAGATACTTGGTGACGGTGTCTTTTTGCAGTGAGAGTATCCAGTAAATGCGCCTTGAGTTCCAAGTCTATGTTCGTTATCTGCTGTGATTCTTTATGCGATCATGGACTTTTTATATATCAATTCCAAAAAATCTGGGCAGTCAGAATCGTCAGTACATAGTCTTTCTAGACTTTGATTTATCGGTGGCAGTTTTCCTGAGCTTAATGTAAAACTTTGTTTTTTTCGGACGCTTCTTTATAGCGCGCAAGTAAACGTTTTAGCATACTGGTTAATCTTGTCATCAAAACATTTCAAGTTTTGGTGCCAAAGCATGTTCACAACTTTGAAAGAGCGTACAGCAGATACAAAAGCAGTTTGGAAGCGCTTCAAAATAAATTCGATGGTTGCGTTTCATTTTTAAATGCTACGGTCACCAAGTATCCTCCCTTGTTAGAAGATGATCTGAGAAACTCAAAATACCTTATGTGACGCCAAGCTTTTCAAGGGTGGAAGTTCCTCCCTTTATTGTCATTAGACTAAACGACGAGTGGTCTGGCACGTTGTCAGAGTGGTGGGCATACAACAGCATTGCTGAAGGTCTTTACAAAGGCGATCGCCGAAACGTAAACCGTACTGATCATAAGCTGTACTAACAATAAAGAAGGAATTACCAAGCTTGGAAAGCCTAACATCATATAACGCAATTGACAACTTGCCAAAATTCAAAGATAGCAGAGGGTGGGAATTCAAAGTAATTTTTCCTACTTTTCAGCAAATTTAGCGTTAACACCTACGTCTATCACGGAGCTGCGGAGCATATTTTTTCAAATTTGAAGCAACTTTAGAAAGTCTCCTGATATTTTTGATGATGGTCGGCATTAGAACAGTACTAAACATCTACTTTATTTCATTGTTTGAAAAATGTGTGATCGGTGTTTATAACGTTCTCTAAAAGCTTATGATACTAATCTAAATAATTCGCCAGCTTCCTAGAGCAAATAAATTTTTTTGTAAAGGCTCAACAGATTTTCTTGTTCTTCACATTGAAAACAAAGTTCATCCCTTCAGGTGTACCTCAAGAATTTGGATCACGATCGCCTGATCCAAGAAGCTCAAGATGTAATGCGCAATACAGACATTACTATCGATCGTAATGTTCTACTCGATCGACATTCGGTCTGTCGACGAAACTTGTCACGCCTAAATCCACGCGATTTGATTCGCAGTTGTACTACTGCTGACTAGTTTGCGCAAGTAATCTGTAATGTGATTGTCATTTCCACTCTTGCATTTGTTTCAACGCTCTGCTTCTCTTCAAATCTTCAAGACTACTCTTTTCTTAAAATGAGTTCCAGACTGAGCGGATATCCATACTATTTGGTTTCATAAGTCCGTTATGTTTGATGACAAAATGTCAATGACAAAATCCTACGAAATCCGTTCCATAACTCATGTTCCGTTGCTGGACACAGCATTCTGATATCTTGCCCAAATGTTTTTTACCGTTTTTTCAAAACTCTGCAAGGTCCGGTCCTAAAATGCAACCGGCGCTCCAAATCTACCTTTCAGCTGTCTTGGTGTACACCTTTGACGATGTTTGCCTTATCTTGTCTTATGTCTCGTGCAAAAAAATTCATTGGACCTGTTTATTAGATACGTTTGCAGAAAATTTCGTTTAAAAGGTGCAGTTAGGTAAGTGCAGTATGATTGACGGTACTTCTTGTTCAGCAATCAGAACTTGTTTCTGTCCCATAAAAAGGCTTGTTCAGAAGGACACCTGTTCAATATTGTTAGTCTTCGAGGCCATTCAAATTTTTCTTACTATATTGACGTGCATACTCCATTTTCCATGACCGCAAAAATCTGACAGAAAATAGGCTTCTTTTTAAAAAAAAGCAAGTGCTAAAGATGCTTTTTTTGGGCTTAAGAAAATCAGCTTAGGAGACTAAGAGATCCAAGCTGTTTTGCCCAAAATAATAAGTTCATTTTGAGAAGCACAATCAGCCCTTTGATATAAGCATCTTGCCGCAGAGCAATCATGTCTCAAAAAATGAAAATGAAAGTGAAAACTCTAACCCTGAACTTAAGGAACTACTGTAAGCAATAGGGATAGTCGATGTCAAGTTGATCCAGAAGCTCGACAATGCATCAGAAGCATGCCATTTATCTATACTGCTGAAAGACACGCAGAAATAGCGCTTACAACTTTCTTGGAGTATTGCAAACACTCTGCATTCTACTTTTTCTGCGCCATTTGAGGTATCACCTACGATCTCAAGATATGCAATTCTATCTACCTTAAACTTCAAACTTCATGTCTTGAAGCAAAGTAGGTTTATTTAGAACATTCTTTGTACACTTTCAACGTAGTTTATGACCGAAAGGCTAGAGTGGCTTACAAGGGAACGATACTAGGTGTCCATGGCCTTTTGAGATAAAATGTATACCATTACACTCGCCTTGGAACGCTGATTCTGAATCAGAAATCCTTTTCTGCTAATCGTTTTCATTTAGGGAAGTAAATAAAGGATTTTCGACCGTTTGGCGCCCAAGGGAGATATAATGGTTAGTGCGATAGTCTCACAAGTTGTTGCAGGTGTAGGTTCGAATCCATTTGTGTTTTCAGTTTTGCATTGCCTCAATTGAGTCAATGCATGCCCTTGCTCTATGAAAAATTAACGAGGAATCATTTTTAAGAGGCTGCTGCCGGCCTTATTAGCGGCAGAACGCATAAAGCGCAAATTTACAACGGTGAGATACGCGCGCGCTGCGTTTGCGCCCGCTCAACTAATACTGCTTTTGTGCCTTCGTCGTGCAGTAGCCTTTAAGTTTCCTACATTTATTGTGGAAAATGCTTATAAAATGAGCACTTTGTCATAAATTTCCGTCACTGTGTTTAACTTGCATTATATTTATAAGCATCTTTCAGAATAAATCAGACACTCATATAAAAATGACTACTCTTGGTTTTTCAAAGAGTGAGGACATGCATTTATGCTGGATCTCCCAGAATTGTGTTATGGTGAACCATCAACGTGGCTGTCTTTCGATCATTTTAACATGTCAAGTTCGAATAGCGCTTTAAATTTACTGGAGTTAACGTGTTAAAACGATCGAAAGGCAGATGGTTTATATGGGAACAATTCTGGAGGACGCACGATACCTCGAGGATGCCTCAATTTCAAAAAAGAAACTTGAGGCAACGACTGAAAAACGCAAATTTGAACCTAGCATTAACCACGAAACCACAGCGTACCGCCAGTGTTGGCGTTTCGATAGTATTTCCCTGGGACGGCCATAGTTGGCGCTAAAATTTTTCACAACTTCTTTCAGAGAACTATTAGCAGAAACAGAAGCCAGATTTGGAATTAGCGTTCCAAGGCAAGCGGCACAGGCACTTCTCATTTCAAAAGGCCATGGACACATAATAATTCCTTGTTATTGAAGTGTACTGCTTATGTGCTCACCAGTTTTGTGCATTGTTGTGATCATCGTATCGTTTAAAGACCGCTGTTCCATTTTTTCCTGTCAATTTTGTCAATTTGTTCGTAGATTTACGGGTTGTGATCAGTTTCTTTTGTACTATAATTTTGATTATTCTTTGAAGATAGAGCTTAAAAAGACAGCTTCTTGCAGGTGACGTTTTGCTGAGCTTTGATTGTTATAGAGCTTTGTCTCACAAGGACATGCGTTTTTAGCGAAGTGGCCTTTCCGAATAGTGCAAATAAGCTCTGCACCATTTTAGAATAAACAATAATATCAGACCTGTCTTCTACGTCTTCTTTGGCCTTTAACAGCCGGGTTATGAATTTGTGGAACAAAAAAATCACAAACATTTGCCATTGACTTCCGCTGGACAAAGTAGTTGACCTTATCGAATGCGTGTAGGACTCATGAAATCGGCGTCGAGAAAAAATCGGGACATTCGTATTCCTTTTTGAGACAGAAGAGCATAGATTCCAATTGAAATCTCAAATAAATAAGATAATTTTAGTCTTACAGCCTTCCAGCTCTTGAATAAGTAGTGATAAGTTGAGTTTACAAGTCAGAGTATTTCTTGCACCATTCTCTGTATCACTTCTCTGTGTACGGGCTTGTGCGTCGCGAGTCCCGCGACCTTGCTTAAACTCCGCACCTTTTTCGCGAGCATGCTTTCTAAGCTAAAGAACGCTTAATTAACGATTGAACTCGGCCTTTTCTACGATCTGTTACCCGACCTTACCCACTTGGGTGGTCTTCGATGTTAGTTTAATCGCTTCCAACTTTTTGACGTTGCCTCCAGGATGAAATCAGCGCTCAGTTTTCTGTTCGATTCTTCTTGCTGGAAAGGCCATTTTGATCAAAACACTCTTCCAGCGCAAGCGGTTTGCTAGTGGCTGGTAAGTGTTCAATCTTGTTGTAAGGTGCCAAAAATAATGAATTGATAGAAAATTCAGCAAATCGCTTCGAAAAGTAGACTGAAACCATCGGTCGAAAACGTATGTGTGCAAAATTTTTCAATCGGTTTAAGCGCAAGCGAGTCTACTAAAAACATAGGTCAAAATTTGCATAAACTTTGACATTTATTTGACAGAACGTCCGCTTGCACTATTTCAATAAATCGTAGTCTCTTACTGTCAAAAAACTTGGGTAATGACAATAATACCGTTGAAAAAAGCAAATCCTATATTTTTTCTAATAACACCTTGACTACTCCCTATTAAACTTTGATTAAGATAAAAGTCGAAAAAGGAGATTATTTGAAACTAGCTGGCTTACCCGGCTCCGCCGTATCCGGGCCAAACTTGGCACACATACACTTCGGGCCCCGGCGGGTGTCACAGTCCACTTTTCGTTATCGATCGATGTCGATTTTACCGATTTTTATCGATTTTTTGCAGAGTTCACCTACAGGGCTAGGAGTTGGCACAGGGGGGTAATCGAGCATGGGGATTCCGAATACAACATTAGTTTTCAGGATCGTCCATTACTTTTATCGATTTTATCGATTTTTTTTGTAAAGTTTGACCTGCGGGGCTGGGAGTTTGCACAGGGGGGTAATCGAGCATGCTGTTTACGAACACAATATTAGTTTTCAGGATCGTCCATTACTTTTATCGATTTTATCGATTTTTTTTGTAAAGTTTGACCTGCGGGGCAGGGAGTTTGCACAGGGGGGTAATCGAGCATGCTGTTTACGAACACAATATTAGTTTTCAGGATCGTCCATCACTTTTATCGATTTTATCGATTTTTTTTGTAAAGTTTGACCTGCGGGGCTGGGAGTTTGCACAGGGGGGTAATCGAGCATGCAGATTACGAACACAATATTAGTTTTCAGGATCGTCCATTACTTTTTCGATTTTATCGATTTTTTGAAAATTTGAGCTAGGGGGCTGGAATTTGGCACAGGGGCGTAATCGAGCATGCTGATCACCCCCCTTGGGGATGATCAGCATGCTCGATTACCCCCCTGTGCCAACTCCCAGCCCCCTAGCTCAAACTTTGCAAAAAAATCGATAAAATCGATAAAAGTAATCGATAATCCCGAAAACCAATATTGTATTCGGAATCCCCATGCTCGATTACCCCCCTGTGCCAACTCCCAGCCCCGTAGCTCAAACTTTGCAAAAAAATCGATAAAATCGATAAAAGTAATCGATAATCCTGAAAACCAATATTGTATTCGGAATCCCCATGCTCGATTACCCCCCTGTGCAAACTCCCAGCTCCGTAGGTGAACTCTGCAAAAAATCGATAAAAATCGGTAAAATCGACATCGATCGATGACGAAAAGTAGCCTATGACACCCGCCGGGGCCCGTAGTGTATGTGTGCCAAGTTTGGTCCGGATCGGTTCAGAAATGGAATTTTCTATTCGGAACATACGTACACACAGACAGACAGACAGACATACAGACAGACATACAGACAGACAAACAGACATTCAGCTTTATATATAAGATATAGGATTTGAGGCAGGTGCAATACAAGCTGAACGGTCATGAACAGGGCTCGGCATGAGGTGGCTTTTTAATTTTTCAAAACGAAGTCCCTGTAGACTTCGTCGGAAAAATACTACATTACCTATGACGCGATCGTGAATGGATCAAAACAAATAAGGAAAAGTAATGGAACAAAACATAAAAGCGACTTCGAACAGACGAAAAAAAACTAAAGATGTTCGTTTTCACCGAAATGGTGACATGTTGTGTCCGCACACTTGCGCGCTTGGAGCAGGCTTGCCGCCGCCATACAAAATATTTGGAGGGCTGCAACTGAAAATGAAGAGGTTAGGAAGATTCCGAACTCAGTTGTAGGGATTTTGAAGTAGAACAAGGCTATGTTAAACATGTGAGAAAATTATGTGAAGGAAGGGAGATCTATGATCTTTTCTTATTTACAGCCACCTCAGGTGGCTGTCCAGGTGGCTGTAAAGCCACTTGACTCCGAAAAAAAGTTTGCCACGCCTTCAGTTCACATAATTTTTTCATAATTTCCCGCACATAGTCTAACTCCTTATTACCCATCTACACACCAATTTTGGTGTCACTTCATTTTCTCTTTGCTGTAGACAAGTCTTTTGTTTGATTCGGGCATGTTTGAATTCGCGCGCTTAACCGGCGAACATGTTAAAACAGGAAATTTCTGGTTCTTGCAGATCGATAAGGCAGATAAAACAATTTACGTTTTCTGTAGAAGATAACTGGCATAAAGGCAGAAGGAGACTGTGTGTGTGTGGGAAAGGAGGGCTGGTTTTCGCTTAAACGATACCCCGCTTGCTTTTTATTCCAAAACAATATCCAGCTTGCCCCGTAAGCCGCCTGTGCCGAGCCCTGGTCATGAATAAAAGTTTTCTGTCCTTTTTTTCTAGCTGAGCAAAGTCGGTGCTGATTGACCTCTTCTTCGAAAAAAAAAGTGAAAAGACTGGATCAACACAAACTTTGCTCAGTTATAAAGAGGAGACCAAAAAAACTAACGATGCTGACTGTTTCGGATTTTATGGCACAGTTTTAATTTCCAAACTGCTTGCCTCAAATCACCACAACTGGGTGAATTCTTTTTTCTAATCCACATCTGCAAGTAAAGCTTGATTGAAAGTATTTAAGGCATCTGTAAAAAATACATAAGTTGCTATTTACAATAAAATATCAATTTCATGCAAGTACATCGTAATAGGAAAGGTATGTACCTAAGTATGTTCATACCCAGGTATGAACATGTTCAAAAAGCTGACAAGCGAATCGAACTTTACAAATAAAATATGGGTCAGTTCTAGGCTTGACAGTCTTCATTACGTACGCCTCAGGATAGCTAGGGCGAAAACGAGGTCAAGGCTTGCTATATGGAATTAGAAGGTTTCTGTAGAGAAGAGCATATCTTCAACAGAGTCACGTTGGTGACTTTAACGCCCAGATCGGAGCAAAAATTTCGCCCGCAGAACTGAGCGCCTACGGACTGCAGTGAAAGTAAATGGTTGTAATTGATTGATTGTTTTGTCTTTGGCTCTTGGTATATGACATTGGCAACAACAAACGTCCGCGACGTGGCCAAATGGAGGTGTTGGGCTTCAGGCACATCTCGCAGAGTTCAATCGCTAGTCGATTTGGCATTTTGCCGGATGTCTTCCTATCCATCAACAACAAACTATGAAAGCAGTGCGTGAACTTTCGCAAGTTGATAAAATGCTTAACGCTTTTAATACAAAAATGGCACGCAAAAATTGCCACAAAAGTCTTTTGCACAACCAGGCGACTAAAATCGCCTGAGATATGCAAGACCTTACTGGATCCCGCTCGTGTCAAGCGGTGATTAAAGGAAATGCAGATATGCAGAACAAAAACCTTAGCTTTTGTGCGCATTCTGCACGTTGTCGGAATGACAATTTGGAAAACCTGATTCTTCGAACTCAAAGTACTGCCCAAATGGTGAGAGCGTGAAGAAATGAAGGGTAAAGACTTTTGTTTATTATCTAAAAGGAATTGAGATTTTGTTCTAACATTCTCTGTTGTAAGAACATCATAAAACACTGAAATGAAAAGAAAAATCACGATGAATGCTGTTTTTAGTGCTTCGATTGGTTACTACACGAATTCTGCCAGTCAGAAAAACAAAACTTTTTAGTCAACTTAGTAATAACAAGGTACTCTCTACTTGATGGTGAATGCTATTGATTTGTGCTCACTTGCTTCTAAAATACAGCACCATTTTCTTTGACTTCGAGTGCTATTCCGTAGATCACAAGTAACTGATAAGCTGTGCAAGAAAACTGAAGTTGAATGATGGTCAGCATCTCGCGATATCTATGTATACAGAGTGTCCCAAAAAGATGTGCGCACTGTTTGATTGTTAATAACTCTCTTGTTTTCATTTTTTGTTTTAAGGTACCAGATTCTATAGAGCGAGGTTCAACTCAAATTTGCTGAATGGAGCGAATTGTCAATCGGAACTGGGATAATCGAAGGCGCTATTCTAAATATAAAGTTTGCACTTAAGTATATGCTTCTTTCATAAGTTATTTCAGATTTAGTGTAAAAACTTTTTCCAATGTCCGTCAGAAATGTGAATACGTCATAAGAAAGCTCAAAAAACAGGTGAAATGTTATGTACTGAAATCACCACTCCTGAAAACTTTGATACACAAATTTTCAGACTTTTTTGAAATTATTTCATCAAAAGGCCTATTCCACAGTGACTCTGTACGTTGGAAGTTCATACCGTAATCCTACAGTACTGAAAAGTGATTGGTGATTCGCTCCACACCGAAAATCTAAGCTAAACCTCGCTCTACAAAAGGGTACCTTAAACTCGGCAAAAAACCTAAAAGCAAGAGAGTTATTATCGATCAAACAGTGTGCACATCTTTTTGGAACACTTTGTATATTAGGTTGAATCGAAAGTTCTGTCGTCATTAGTTTTTTATCCTCCTCTTTATAAATGAGCAAAGTTTGTGTTGATCCAGTCTTTCCACTTTTTTTTCGAAATCAAAACTTTTCGAGGAAGAGCTCGATCAGCACAGACTTTGCTCAGCTAGAAAAAAAGACAGAAAACTTATATTCATGACCAGGGCTCGGCACAGGCGGCTTTCGGGGCAAGCTGGATATCGTTTTGGAATAAAAAGCAAGCGGGGTATCGTTTAAGCGAAAACCAGCCAGTACTCTGCGTTGATACCACTGCTTCGCCTTGTGCCTTTATGCTAGTTATCTTCTACAGATGACGTAAATTGTTTTATCTGCCTTATCGATCTGCAAAAACCAGAAATTTCCTGTTTTAACATGTTCGCCGGTTAAGCGCGCGAATTCAAACATGCACGAATCAAACAAAAGACTTGTCTACAGCAAAGAGAAAATGAAGTGACACCAAAATTGGTGTGTAGATGGGTAATAAGGAGTTAGACTATGTGCGAGAAATTATGAAAAAATTATGTGAACTGAAGGCGTGGCAAACTTTTTTTCCGGGTCAAGTGGCTTTACAGCCACCTGGACAGCCACCTGAGGTGGCTGTAAATAAGAAAAGATCATAGATCTCCCTTCCTTCACATAATTTTCTCACATGTTTAACATAGCCTTGTTCCACATCAAAATCCCTACAACTGAGTTTTGGAATCTTCCTAACCTCTTCATCTTCAGTTACAGCAATAGCTCTAAGCGCGCAAGTGTGCGGACACAGCATGTTACCATTTCGGTGAAAACGAACATCTTTAGTTTTTTCGTTTGTTCGAAGTTGCTTTTATGTCTTGTTCCATTACTTTTCCTTGTTTTGGCAATTCTGTATTGCTCGCCGACGCCGAAGGCGTCCTGTCTCAGAATGCCTTCAGATGCCTAAAGTTGACGTCGAAAAAACGCCAAAAAGCAGACCTACTTTTAAGCTTGTATTACGAATTTATGGAAAATTTTAGCGCTTATAAGTAGTGTGTGGGAAAAAACAGCACTCTATCCGTACACGTCGCAATTTTTTCGCTGTTTTTTTGAGCGCTCAAACCCATTTGAAATGCAAACGTAGCATAGTTTTCGAAAATGAAAATTTCGCTCTTTATTTTTCGTATTTGTAGTTTTTCATTAAAGTTCTTTTGAGTTCAGAAAATAGTGATAGCAGCCCAATAGAGCAGACTTAGAGCTGCCAAATGCATACAAGCATTTTGCAGGATGCTTTGCAGATATTGAGAAAAAACTTTAACAGTTTTCTACACAACCTAATATTTTATCACTGTGCTTAACTTTGAATTACTCGCAGGAGGCAGTTTGTTTGGGCCAAATCCTTCCACGATGGATGGTCGAAGGTTAATTATAGAAATGACTCCGAGAACGCCTCTTCCACACCTACCGGGAAATATGAATGCAAGCTTTTTATGAAAGCAGAAAGTACGTCTCTAGCTTCGCTTTCTTATTTAAGCAAGTGCGGAGTCGCTTCTTTTGGAAAAGCCCCTTATCCGCCATCCCAGGACGCTGCACGTGTCCTCGCAATTACCGGAGCCCCTTTTATGAGGGGAATCCGTGGGTCAACGATTTTAACAGTGCTTTGTTATTGTTGAAGGGTTTTTAACAGCTACTAAGTATTCAAGCAATTTTGGCTTTTTCGAAGTGCTAAAACGAGAACATTCAAAATAGAGGACGGCATCATTGTAAGACTGAATATCACTGCGTGTGTCTGCATGTCTAACTCGCTATTTTCTCCCTAAGATGAAAGGGTATGCGCCAGGGTTGGCGAGAGCTCCTATAGACATATACAGAGTGTCCCAAAAAGATGTGCACACTGTTTGATCGTTAATAACTCTCTTGCTTTCATGTCTTTTGCTGAGCTTGAGGTACCATTCTGTAGAGCGAGGACAAACTTAGATTTACAGTATGGAGCGAACCACTAATCACTCTTCGTTACTGTAGGATCACGGTATGAACTTCCAGCATATAGCGTCACTGTGAAATTAGCCTTTTGATAAAATAATTCCGAAAAAACTTAAAAATTTGTGTAGCAAGGTTTTCAGGCGTGCTGATTTCACTACATAACTTTCCACCAGTTTTTCGAGCTTTCTTGATGGCGTATTCACATTTCTGACAAACATTGAAAAATCAGTTGTTACCCTAAATCTGAAATAACTCATGAAAGAAACAGTGTATTGACGTGCAATTTTCATATTTAGAATCATCAACTTCAATTAACCCAGTTCAAGAGTCCTGGCTTGTTTGGCTTTCTTTCTAAAGCAAAATACCGCTTTCAATGGCTTGAAATCTCCCTCGAAATTCCTACCGTAATCCTACAGTAACGAAGAGCTGCTGGTAAGTCGCTTTATACTGTAAATCTAAGTTGAACCTCGCTTTAAAGAATGGTACCTCAAGCTCGGCAAAAGACATGAAAGCAAGAGAGTTATTAACAATCAAACAGTGTGCACATCTTTTTGGGACACCCTGTATAATAAACCTCATTTTTGTTTGCTTACAGCGAACAATCCCATGTAACCATCGTATTACAAAGAAAGAACGTGTCAGTAGGGTGGTGTGGATGGCTTTACACAGCAATTGGAAGTTCTCTAAACTCGTGCTCTATTCCGAACTAAACTCGCAGGCTATGATCCCGCTCTGTCTTTTGGCAAAAACTGCACAAAAGTTGCAGACCGACATTTCCGTTGCGAAATCAAAAGCATTGCGCGCGTGCTCCTGAAAAGTTGCTGAAAGACTTTCCATTTGAAAGATAGTTAAATTGAGTTGTACACAGAACAGAACAAGAACAAACATTTCCGTACTTATATATATCAAGGATAAGATAGCAGCATGCAGTCCAGTTATATAATCATAAACTCAGTTATATAATTATAACATTATATTCAGTTATATAATCATAACATAACTCTTCTATCCTTTGCATGGGACTGTTCTGCTGGTAGCGTTTGCACCTATCCTATACTTCAATCGTATCGTGATAAATGTGATGCACATAGATAAGTTGCAAATATATTGCTCTGTATTACATGCTGAGCGGCAGGCATGAATCGCATATACAGGGTGTCCCAAAAAAATGTATCGAACGTTTGATCGTTAATATCTCTCTTCTAAAGAAGTCTTCTCTCTTGCTTCAGGTACCAATCTGTAGAGCTGGCTTCAACTTACATTTGCATTATAGAACGAATCACCCATCTCTCTTCATTACTGTAGGATTACGTTAGAAACTTGAAAGAGGGTTTTAAGCAATGAAAGGCCATATTTTGCCTCAGAAAAGAAACAAAACAGCCTGAAAGCTTTTACACTAGGCTAGTTAGAGTTGCTGATTATAACTGTAAAGTTTCCAACTTATTGTGATGCTTCATTGAAGAGTTATGCCAGGTAAGAGGTAGCGGCCATTTTTTCAATGTTCCTAAAAAGTGCGATTACACCGTTTAGAAAGCTTCGTAATCTCGTGAATAGTTGAGTATTGAACTCAGCATCCATAAAAACCCTATTACACAAGTTTTCACAATTTTTTGAAGAATTTTGGAACTGCAGCTTTTTCCACATTGACACCATATGTTTCAAGTTTCTACCGTAATCCTACAGTAATGAAGAGAGATGGGTGATTCGTTCTATAATGCAAATCTAAGTTGAAGCCAGCTCTACAAAACGGTACTTGAAGCAAGGCAAAAGACTTCTTGGGAAGAGAGATATTAACGATCAAACGTTTGTTACATTTTTTTGGGACCCCCTGTATATACATATATAAAGCGGAGTGTTGGTAAATTGTTAGTTAGTGTGTTCTTTATATGAACTTTTGTGTTGAACCGATCAGCGCGAAACTTTGCACGCATAGGACAATGCGGTGATTCAAGGATGCGATCAAAAGTTATCTGCTCTATGTTATACGAAAAAGAGAACGCCAAAACGCTGTAAATTAATCCTTTGAAAATGCGCACCAATCTTGATTTTTGTTGGTCACATAAACCCACGGTCGGGTAAAGCCGGGCATACCAGTATATATACAGGGTGTCCCAAAATAATGTGCACAGTGTTTGATTTTGAATAACTCTCTTATTATAAGGTCTTTCGAGAAGCGGTAAGCGCCATTTTGTAGAGCTGGCTTGAACTTAGATTTACAGTATAGAGCGAACCACCGACCGCCCTTCATTACTGTAGGATCACGGTAGAAACTTGGAACATATGGTGTCACTGTGGAAAAAGCTGCCGTTTCAAAAAATTTCAAAAAGATGTGAAAACTTGTGTAATAGGGTTTTTAGGGACGCTGAGTTCAATACTCAACTATTCTCAAGATTGTGAAGCTTTCTAAACGGTGTAACCGCACTATTTAGGAACACTGAGAAAATGGCCGCTACTGCTTGCCTCGCATAACTCTTCAGTGAAGCATCATAATAAGTTGGGAACTTTACAGTTAGAATCAGCAACTCTAATTGGCTTAGTGTAAAAGTTTTCAGGCTGTTTTAATTCCTTTCTGAGGCAAAATATGGCCTTTCATGGCCCAAAAGTCTCTTTCAAGTTTTTACCGTAATCCTACAGTAATGAAGAGCGGTCGATGATCCGCTCTATACTGTAAATCTAAGTTTAACCTCGCTCTATAAAATGGTACCTAAAGCTTCTCGAAAGACCTTATAATAAGAGAGTTATTCAAAATCAAACAGTGTGCACATTATTTTGGGACACCCTGTATATCTTATATATAAAGCTGAATATTTGTTCATCTGTCTGTATGTCTGTAAGTCTGTACGCATGTTCCGAATAGAAATTTTTATTTCTGAATCGATCCGGACCAAACTTAACACGCATACACTTCGGGGCGGGGCGGGGTAATAGGCTACTTTTCGTTACCGATCGATATCTTTATCGATTTTTTGCAAAGTTTGAGCTTCAAAGCTGATGTTGCCTCAGGAAAACAATCAAGCATGCTGCTTACTAAAACAGCGGGAATGGGGAATTGGCATGTAGACCATAGGTGCGATAGTGGGACCCGGGCTCTCCCCAGGTGAAGGGGGTCTCGGCTGTTCCCGCCTTCAAGGGTGAAGGGGGTATGTGAGTCTAGGGGGGGGGGGGAGGAAGAGAGAAAAGGCAAAAAAGTGTGGTATGAAAAGCTCTAATTAGCACCTTATTTAGGCACAAATTGAAAAAAATTTTAGATTTTGAAAAAATTAAAATTTTTAAAAAATTGACTTTATGAAGATCTGTGCTCCTGTTTCATTGCATCAACAATAAACGAAAGCAATAAGGTTTATCCCAAAAGATGTACAAGTTAGGAACAACCTCAATTTTTGCACATCATCACCAACAATATTACTATCGCTAACGTCAGAGACAACAAATTCGCTGCCTGAAAAATCTTTTTCTTCCTCCAAAAGGTCATCGGAGTAGAACTAGAATTGCGTGCAAAAGCGTTCTGAGTCGAAAATGGTTTTGAAACTTTCTTCTTTTTCTAAGCGCTTTTGTGATTTTTTTCCTGGCCCTCTGGTAGCACCAGGAAAGTCCGCAGGTAGGTGACCAGTTTCTTCATACCATCTTTTAGGATATTTTAAAAAGTCATACGGTAATAGCCTGTATGGACCACTCATACCAATCCTTTAAATGAAGTTTTTAGATAACAATATGTTCACTAGAAGGTTGACAAATTAAGTAATTGCTTAGATACTCCATCGTTGTACGACTTCTGCGTTGTGTTCTGATAACAGAGGATAGAAAATTTCTTTCTTTACCTCTGCCGTGCTAGTCGGAATGGAAACTAGCTCTGCTAGTAAATTCATCAGATTTTTGCGGTAAGTAATGGGGAAAGAGCGAGATCGCATATGCTTTCGCAACACAAGAGGGGAATATTGCATACTTTTTTGGGCCTTGTCAAACTCTGGCTTCACCTCCTCTGGCATACGTCCTGTTAACTGATGAGAAATCTGCTCAACTTCTTCTTTAACAGCATCTGCGGAGCCGAAAAAAGTAGATACTATACTGCGCGTTGGTTTTTTTTTTCAATATCATAGGTCATAATGTCACAAGGCGAATAACTTCCAAAAGCATAAAGCACAGAGTTGGATTCGCACTCCAGTCGGGATCTAAGAGCAATAGCTATGCTTTGTACTAACACATTCCTTTTGTTCATATCCATGTTTGTGAATTTAGCAGCTTTGAAATCTCCAGCAACCTGAAGATCAGCAATGGACTTCTTGGACATTCTCATTGAAATTAGGCAATCTGCTTGGATTCCTTATGTAGGAAGTCAGAGAATTTCGCTCAATTGTCAACTCTGTATCAATGTCGGCAGCATTTTCGTCGGCGTAAGATTCTTCTTCTGCCCCGCTGTTGAACTGGAACACATGCGAGTCATCTGTGATTTTGTAAAGTATTCTGCCTGCCGTTTCCTCTTCAAACTGCCAACCTTTCCAAAACATTGAGGGATATTTTATTAACATATTATTCTTCTGAATGTCTTAAAGTATTTGATTCATTGAAACCAACCATTCTCTACAAATTAGGTAAGGTGAGTCTAGAGCGTTTTCACGAAAGTGACCTTCTTCAGCATTAGGATTACAGAGTATAGATTCCAGTAATGGGAGGATTTTTGTTTGAAGGTGTGGAAATTCACCAATATCCCATAGTTTTTTGAGCGTGTGCTAATAATGATGGCATAACGTCAATCAAAAGCGCATTTCTAACCAAAAAAACATAAACATACAACAACTTAATGAGTCGTCCCGAAAGTTTTTGTGCACGATATTCAAAAATTCATAACTTCTGATTTTTCCAACCGATTTGACTGCTTTCACTTTTATGTGAAAGGGTAAGTCATCCTCTTTATAATGAATCTAGTGATTAGTAATGGTCATCTGTTGCATAGATAGGAGCGATAGAAGAAAAATGGTCAAAATTTGAATTTTCTGTGTAGGGTCATAAAAAATCGGAGACTTGCAACAAAAATCGGAGCAATCAGAATTGTAGGTTCTTTCACCAGTTCTCTCTAACAGTGCAAAGTTTGCGCCGATTGAGCGCTTCTATGGAAAGTTATGATTTCCCTGAAAAATGCCAAAATAAACCAAATTCGCCCTTTTGTATTGCTTGCTCGAAAATCATGACTTTTCATAGAGACCCTCAATCAGCGCAAACTTTGCACTGTTAGAAAGAGTTGGTGGAGGAACCTACAACACGGGCTGCTCCGATTTTTGTTGCAAGTTTCCGATTTTTTATGACCCTACACCAAAAATTCAAATTTTGACCAATTTTCTTCTATCCCTCTTATCTAAGCAAGAGATAACCATTAGTAAGCACTGAGATGTCATTATAAAAAAGATGACTTACCCTTTCACATAAAAGTGAAAGCAGTCAAATCGGTTAGAAAAATCAAAAGTTATGAACTTTTGAAAATCGTGCGCATGAACTTTCGGGACGACCTATACAATGTGTTGGCTTTTATGGGTCACCGGAGCAAATGAATTTTGAAGCTGGGAGGTAAAGAAGCCCTAACATGCTGTATACCATTCAAAAGCTGAGATCATGGAGAATCGACCATCAACTTTTTTCTAGGTCTTCTGTGCCGCGAGATATGAGGAATTTTATGTTCTCCAAAAACCAACTGCTTTTTTGTCCTCACTTTCTGCTCTCCAAATGAACCGAGGATAAATAAATAATATAAATAAACATAAATACCGTTTCTTTTCTAAATTTATGGGTGTACTTGTCGCTTGAAGTACTTAGCCTGCAAAACCTTTTAATGACTATTTTTATCATATCCTCAGAGTACAATACCATTCTCGGCCCAGGTGAAGGGGGTCATCGTGAGTTTGGCCTCAAAGTGAAGGGGGTAAGATCCATCACTCCCCCTATCGCAACTATGATGTAGACTTTGGAACCGGAAAAGGTTGAACAGGGGTACAAACGAGAGCTTTATCAAGTGTTTTGACAGGGCTGGGCTGAGCCGGGTAAGCCAGCTAGTAGATATATATATATAACATAACACTTCCATGTAATGCGATTTTTTCTGAATAATAGCAAACTTCAGTTTTTTGAGATGGAAACGATTTCGTGGGTAATGACCAGATTCAGCGTACTTCCAAAGTCTTCTTCCAGATTCTTGTGAGAGCAACTAAATTTTTGCAGTTGTCAGCTGGGACGCATTTTCCATGATGTCGTAAGTAGCCGTCGATACATTGACATGAGGGTGGAAGGCATTTGCTGGCACACGTTTTCTATAAAGATTTGTTCTTTGTAATAGTGCTTGTCAGCTTTTTAAGAGGCCTCAATTCGAAGCTTGCATTACTTTGTGAACGCAAATATTATATTGTTGATGCAATTTTAAAACTGCTCGAAAATTAACAGTGAGCCGTTTTTTTTTGAAGAATTCATGTTTGATTGTTTTAATAATTGATTAATTAATATGTAGGATTTTTTTACGTTGAAACCAGTCCGAATGGTGGAACTTCATTGACTCGACGTATCGAATTCGTCTTTAGGAGTCTGAAAATCATCGTAGCATTCGCATTCGTAATTCATCACGCCGCCAAAAGTTTCGTCGATCGCTGCACGTCTGAACCTTCCCCTGATGCAATGTACAGAAGAACGAAAAGAGAGTGGCAACCTTTAGTACCAAAAGACCAGTAGTCGCACAATCGTGCTGGATGCAAATGGATTTATACTTAGTCTGTAGTTATTGCTAGATATAACTATTAAGACACTCTGGGAATCGTAATCTGCGTATTGTTGATGAACACATCCGAAACTTTGCTGTATAGTGCACATGACCGTTTAAAGTCTCGTTCATTGCAGCGTCCAGGCAAGTCTGGATACATTGGAATCTCAAGTGGATAGTAATTTTGGGAAGCCACTGCTCAACCGGCAGCTCGGGTAATGCTCTAACGGCTGAGAAATTCCCCTCGAAATTGGACCCCCGCGATTGTATTTCGCATGGATTCATGGCGCAAAACGTGGGTCCTGGCGCGAAATTGATGGGTTTCGCCATGAATCCATGCGAGTACAATCCTGGGGTCCAGTTTGGAGACGAATATCTAAACGGTGAGTTTACCATTTGAGCTGCCGCCTGGGGAGTGGCTTAGTTAGGGCCCCAAATTTACGATCCACGTGAGAGCCCCATATGTCCAGATTTGCCTGGACGCTGCCTTTGAGTTCGAATGTAAAAAAATTCTAAAAAGGCCGTTTTGTAAGCTGACAAAATTACAAAGCCACCTGGGTTTTTTTTTTGAAGATAATGATACGAAACTACCAAAATTCATAATACCAAAATACGAAACTTTTGCAACACCTTCAACATGTCAACCTTCTTGAAGAAGAAAAATGATTTCATTTTTTTGTTTTTAAAAGCATCAAAAGTAAAGCTGTTTCAATAAACAGCTGGTTAGGGAGCTTTCAAGCTTTTGTTCATTTCATATGATAGCCATGGAATCCACTGAGCCTTTTCGATAAATGAGTTGAGAAGCGATTTCGTAAACTTTGCATAATCGCTGATATGGACGGACGGACGGAGCCCAACCTTAACATAAGCTTGTCACGCCTTCGCCTAAAACTCAGTTTGCAGTGTTTATAAAGTGCTGGACTTGATTACATTGCCTGAATGGTGATGCAGCTTTCGCAACAAATTTCAGATTTTCCTTGGTAATGCAGTCGCGACTGTGGCATGAAATACTTCAATCGAAAACTTTCTACAAGCAGTAGATCCGACGTAATTATAAGTCTCACTGTTTTCTTCTCTGTTTCACGTTAGATTTTACCCAAAGAATGAAGTTAGCTAAGATTTCAAAGTTTTGAGCGGTCTCCTGTTTTATATCGTGATCTGAGTTGGCTATGATTGTGGAGGGTGCTCCGCTCAACTTTCAGAGGATGACAACTGCGACTGAACCAAAATGTTCAACCCCGGAATTTTTTCCTGACTATGCACACAAGTTTATTGTTGTACAGACCACGTAGTGGCTACATTACATTGATTTCTGTAGCTTGAAAATCGAGTTTTGTGTTAAGCTTGACAACCTCTGTTGAGGTTGAAGCTTGTCCGTCCATATCAGCGATTACGCAGAGTTTACGAAGGCGCTGCTTAACTCATTTATCGAAAAGGCTTGGTGGATTCTATGATTATCAACTGAAATGAAAAAGAGCTTTAAATCTCCGCCAACCAGCTGTTTGTCAAAGCAGTTCAACTTTTGATGCTTTTGGTAACAAAAAATGCATTAAGTATTTTTCTTCGAGAAGGTTGACAGGTTAAAGTTGTTGCAAAAGTTTCGCATTTTGAGATGTAACCGTACGAAAAAAATTGAGGGTTATGTTCGATAAACCAGGTGGCTTTGCAATTTTGTCCGGTTTTTGAATCTTTTTATAATTTATCCATTTTTCTCTTTCCGAAGGACTGGAAGCCGTTTTGAGGAGTTATGTTACACTTGCATGTGCCCTATACAGCAAAGTCTGGAGGTGTTCATCAAACAAGAACACAAATTACGACGATCTTTAAATGTCTTTATTATTATGTCCAGCGCTGTATATTGTGTGCGGGTGTGATCTTGCGTAATGATAGCAGAGGCAAGAGACCATTTGTAATGGCAAGGCTATCTTTTTGAATTAGTTAGATGGACCCGTCACGCGTCGTGCGATCCCCACTTTTGACCATTCTTTACGGTTTCGTGCAATCGTCATCCATGATTGTCTTGGTACGCGGTTGCTATTGCTGCTGGACGATCCTGAATTAAACTCCAACTGCCTCCAACTGCTGACGCTTGGTTTACACGGGCAACAAATTCGTCACAACATCTCCTCGGTGGTCTTTCGCGTGGACGTTTCGAGAATCTTGGAATCCATTCTAACGTTTTTTTTGTCCATCTGTCGTTTTTTCTTCTCGATATATGACCGACCCATCTGTATTTATTCTTCGATACTCTGCTGAATATTCCAGACGCGATAGTTGCCTGAGGTCGAAGCTTCGGATTCCAAGTCGGTACTGACTGAACTTGCTCATCTTAAAAGTTTCTTTTTCGAGTGCTCTGTATGCCGTTCGTAGTGTCTTCACGTTGCTGAGGTATTAGCCCAGGTTCCGGCTGCATAACATAAGGCCGGGAGAACTGTTGCATTGAATAGATGAGAGCGCAATTCCGAATCAGCAAGGTTGTCTGTAGCCTCTCTCAGAGGACGGAATGCTGCCCAAGCTGCTCTCTGTCTTTGGCTGGGTTCATCCTTCAGATCGTTGTTCATATTGATGGCACGTTCAAGGTAAGCGTAAGATGAAATTTCCTCTATTGGTGCTCCATCCAAAATAATTGACCTTCACTGTACCAGGTGTTTCTCATGAACTGCGTCTTTTTAAGGTTTATCCTAAATCCAATCCTTCTCCCGCTTTCGTTCAACTCGTTCAGCATCTCTTCGGCTTCCCTAATAGACTTCGAGAACAAAACGTATCGTCTGCGAAACTGAGATTCGAAAGGTACCTTTCATCCACACAAATCCCCTTCGTTATCCGATCGAGCTATTGTACGGAGGTTCGGTGTCTTATATCGGACTGTACGTTGTTGTTTGTTGCCACGCGGGACTTTGATTGTTTGTTGCACTGCGCGCACAGTACCTCAAACTTGGGTAATTAAACCTTTATTAGAAAATTCATCAACACATAAACGCGACTCTACAAGCAATCGATAATAAACAGTAATGCGCACAAATAATGATTAACTATAAGCATTCTGGAATCTTACAAATAAATAGACCTGTGACTAAGCATAAAATATGCCTGTGACTCTAACTATATGGAAACTATCTGTGAATCTATGGAAAACGCATAACATGCCACTAGAATCTGTGATTGCTATGCATCTGAGCGAAAAGAGCAAAATGTCAACGGTGAGCTAAAAGCAATTATAAGAATGAGAAATGATGAAGAAGTGGAAGGTTAACTACATTGAGAAATAAAATTGAAGGGGAGAAATTGCAACACGGCATTCTACGAAAATGTTTCTCTAAACTACTTCTATCTTCTTTTATACGCTTTTAGCTCAGCCTCCACATTCCACAGATAGTCAGCTGTAGCTCTGCACCAGATTTGATTGCTGTGACTCATATCAGGCGCAAAGAACATACGAACTGCGAAAGTTCGTATAGCTATTGCATGCACCATTGCAGTGCTGCGGTAAACAGCTTTAGCGACAACGTGTCGCCTTGTCGGACTCCTTTCTTGATACGGATGTGGAACGGGTGGTCAAACAGCTGTTCATGCTGGTACACTTTTTGTTGCAGTTCGCTTACGTATGTTGGGTCCACGCCTTGGTCGATCAAAGCAGTAAACGGCGATGATTTCACACTATCGAAGGCCTTTTCGTAATCGACGAAGTGAGGAGTGGGGCAATTGGTATTGACGGCAGATCTCCACTCCCTTGAGACAATTCGAATGTAATCGACGCAGCTGAATTCTCTTCGGAATCCGGCTTGCTCAGTCGGTTGTGCTTCATCCATTCATGCAATATCCTTGAAATACGCGACGTAATGATCTTCGTGAACAGCTTGTAAAGCACTTAGCAAGCTGATCGGTCGGTGATTCTTAGGTCTTCTCTTCCGCCTTTCTTGTTAAGAAGGATAGTACGAGATGTCCTCTACTGATTGGGTATCATATGAGTTGTCAGTAGAGTGTGTAACTTTGTCCACCTGCTCTCAGTAGGTTGGCGGTATTCCGTCAGGACCAGGAGCTGCGCCAGGTTTCATGCACTCTATGGCCAAGCGTACTTCCGAAGGAAGAATACTCTGTGGCCGCTCACCGGTGGATGATAGGGTTTGGTACCGGCGTTGTGAATCAAAAAAGTTCGTTATAGAAGTCCCTCTTATCGCTTCCTTTCGAGTCGCAAGTTCACTAGTCTTTCGTCCTTATTTGGTAGAGTTTGCATCTATCCCGGTACCCGGTATCTAATGCTCGCAAAGGTTTCTACAACATCTCTTCAGACTTCTCCTGTTCTGTGCTGCTTCCAATATCTTCATTTGTCGATATCGCTTCAGATCCTCTTGTACGGCTTTCCTGCAAATCCGTTGATCAGTACTTGTTCTAGATGCGATGTACTTGGATTTGCGTGCAGGATTCTCCTTTTTTGAAGAAGCTCCTTAGTGTTGTTCGTCAACCGTTCCGAGCCTCATTCCACTGTAAGAACTGCCTGCTCTGCACAGCTGCGTAGTCCATCAGTCTTTTCTAGATCTTCTGCTGGATCTTCGCATTCCT